CTGGCGTCATGTTCATGTTCGCTCTTCATTTCATTCTTGCGTCATCTATAGTTCGTCGCTTTTAGGGTGACAGTGGCGGAGGAGTGACCGCAACGATTCGTGGAAGAAGTTACTTGTTGGGCATAGCTGTTATGGGGCCACCTTGTGATCTCATTGTTGCTAAAGCTGGGGCTCGTTTTCATCCACAGGCAAGCAAAGTTTTGAATGTCGTGTTAATGTCAGACTCGAAAGATGAAATTTTGAACAGTTCTTTTCTCATATTACGTTCACTACTTGCATGATTTCAGATTTGCACCGACATCATGTACTACAAGAAGATCATCAAAAAATGGATTCTGGCAAAGAGGACTAGCAAACCCGAAGCTGCGAAACCACGGTACAGAAAGCCCCACAGTTTGTTCGAAGCGATATTAGACCCAGACTGGAATGACGATCCATTTAGCAGCATTTTTAAATTTCCCAAATTTAATCATTTTCCGTTTCCGATGTTTCCGATGTTTTGATGACTCTATGCTTGTTGTTGAACGCAGCAGCTGATGAAATAAGCACGACATCATGTGAAACAATTCGTTTCTAACTAATGCGAAAATACGCTACGCAGAAAAATAAAACAAACTTAATTCAAATTGATAGCTCCCTTGGGTGTAATCCGGAACAGACGATTCCATATAAGGTCAAAAGATCTAGAACAAAAACTAACAGATGTGTGAAAAAAGGAGTGAAGAATCTACACGTAAAATGGTACTGTAGTCTGTGTTTTGGTGATTTGTATCTAATGCTGCCCAAAATCCGTAAAGAGCACTGCTTGCCATTTTTTTACCTAAATAACCAAAAACTATTCCTGTTGGTACGCCTAGCATGGAGCAAGGTCAAGCATGGTGTTGTCATGCCATACCTGGTCGAACTGAGGAGTTACAGAGGGAAACTTAAGTCGTAATTAAAATGATACAAATAAAAAGATATTCGTTAAAAGCATGCCAAAAAACCTTATTATGCAAAACACAAGCACACTAAGACGTCAACACATGACCGTATACCAATCGTAGGCACAAAGAAAAACCCCTGCTAAACATAGCGAGTATTTTCTCGTAATTAGTATGTTGGGCATCCCTTTATACCAGATTTTACAATTTCTGAATTTCAAATACTTAGATACCTAGTCAAAATGGTCAGTTTCAAACATAGTCAACTTTGTTTGAAGGAGAATTAGCTGCCTTTTTTGCACTCATACCAAGCAGTAGTCCATTGACACATATCACGAGTTCCACTTGAATAGAGCAGAATTATGGAAGTAGGAATCCACTTTTGCAGCTCAAAATAGTGAGCTTGCACTGTAGGTAAGATGCGGTAAAATTTTGCTTGTGAACAAATAGCTACGCCTATAGCGCGCAAAATGCCCGCATTACTGACGCGGCTGTTTGTTCACGCCCAAATTTTCACCGCATTTCACCTACAGTGCAAGCACATTATATTAAGCGGAAAATCTACTC